TAGATTGTGGATTTGAAAGAAAAAAAATAACTTGCCTTTGGAATAAAACTTTGACTTAAAAACAAGAAACAGGCCGGGCGCGGTGGCTCACGCCTGTAATCCTAGCACTCTGGGAGGCCGAGGCGGGCGGATTGCTCGAGGTTGGGAGTTCGAAACCATCCTGAGCGAGACCCTGTCTCTACTAAAAATAGAAAGAAATTAATTGACCAACTAAAAATATATATACAAAAAACTAGCCGGGCATGGTGGCACATGCCTGTAGTCCCAGCTACTTGGGAGGCTGAGGCAGGAGGATCGTTTGAGCCCAGGAGTTTTAGGTTGCTGTGAGCTAGGCTGACGCCACGGCACTCACTCTAGCCTGGGCAACAAAAGTGAGACTCTGTCTCAAAAAAAAAAAAAATAAAATAAAATAAAAATAAAAACAAGAAACAATGCTAGTCTACATGCTGGCGCACCTACCATGTGAGTTCCGGCCAGGGTTCCCCATCCCCCTCGGCCCTAAGCAGTCCTCATCACACTTGTCCTCTGACTAGGCAACAAGGAAGTACCTGGAACCACCTGTTTCCTCTAAGCAGATGACTCCTTGCTTTTCACAACAGACTATTATAAAATCAGTATGATATTTTAAGAACTAGCTGATTAAACACACCAACTTGTTTGCTGAAGAGTGGTGGATGAGCAACCCATCACACCTGGAGCCCAAGCCCCACTTTCTTCCAGGTGCAGGATAAGATGCTCATTTTATTGTGACTTGCCTATGGCTATGGTATGTGTCAGGACCACTTCTCTCTCTCCCTTTGATTTTTTTTTAACTGAGCCAGGCCCACTGCTAGGAACTCAGCTGCTGGAGTTCTTGCAGAAGGAGGGAGAGATCATGCTGTCTGTTTGCTACAGAGACTTAGACTCTTAGTGCCTGGACTCTTGAGACCCAAGACTGTATGGAGAATCTCAGCCAAGTAACTCACACTAGCATTCTATGGTTGAAGCTTCTTTAAGGGAAGACAAATTGTTAGTTTTTGATGTTTTTATGTGAATATAATTTTAAAGTGTATTGGTTTTCTTTTTAAAGATTCACTGCTCTGACTGGGGGGGGCATTCATTCATTCAATGATGAAATAAATTCATTTATTCTAGAGGTATTTATTGAGTTGTACAATATGCAAGGTACCTTGCTAGGAAAATTCCTTCCCATCACCCTAGGCCAGAAACTGTTTGATTTTCTGCTCTCTCCTCAAGGCCTAGACTATTTCTGGCATATAGTAGAATGCTAACACATTTTTCAATGAATGAATGAATGACACCCTATAGACAATTCATATTTACGTATTTTCCCCACCAGGACTTCATATTGTGATAAAAAGCAGTATAAGACCATTCCCTCTGACAATCTCTATCTGCCAACTAATTCTTTCTTGGAGCTGGAATCAGGCCCTACAGGATTGACACAGCTTCACAACAAATAAGTTAATTAACCACCAGATGGTGACTAGATGCCTACATTGTGCAACTCCCCCCTCCTAGACAATGGGGCCATTTGAGGAAGTAAATGAATGAGATAGTTTCTATTTTCAAAGAGTTTCTATACATACATAAAATTAAGTATATAATATAGTCCTGAGGCCAAGGAGGTGGTTGACATAAAGGAGAACTAAAAGAGATCAGAGAAAGAAGACTCAGTGTTTGCAGAAGATGTGTAGAAGATGGGAGACTAGAATTGGGCCTCCAAACCCAGGTGAAGAATGGAAAAAAGGGCATAACAGGAATGCAGGTGCATGTGTGTGTGTGTGTGTGTGTGTGTGTGTATGTGTGTGTATGTGTGTTGGGAGGTGAGGGAGAATGGCATGGACAGAGTCTGAAAGAAGGCAGAGCATACAAGGTACACCAAGAGTTAATTCTGTTCAATGTAATTTGAGTCAATTGAATAAATATTTATTGAATACATACTGTGTGCCTGGCATTGTGAAAGGTGCTAGGTATACAATGGCTAACAAGACTGATATGGGCCCTGGCTCATTGGCTAGTGGGAGATACGGACAAGTAAACAGACAATGACAATATATCTGATAAGTGCTATGATAGGGAAAAGTTCAGGTGCTATAAGAAGGGTGCAGAATGGACCCAACCCAGATATGGGGGTCAGGAAAATTTCCTGGAAGAAGCAATGCCAAGCCGAGCCCTGAAGCCAAGGTAGAAATTAGTGAGGTGAAACTGTGCAGGTGGGGTATACAGATGTGCAAATGTGAAGGGCCAGGGGGCATGGTCTGAGTTTGTTGGAACAGGGAAAGGAGTACTGGGGAAGAGGCCAGGGATGGAAGCAGTGGCCAGATTTTGCATCTCTTGTATAGCACTTCAAGGAGTTTGGACTTTATCCTGAGAACGGTGGTGACTGAGGAATTTTAAGCAAGAGAATGAAACAAAGACATTTGCATTTTAGGTCAATTACTGTTGGCCATGTGAGAAGGCCCTGAGAGGAGAAACGGGTGATAAAAACAAAAGGGTAATAGGAGCCAGATTCCTGAAGCTTTAGCCCTAACACAGTACAAGAACTAAATGAATATTTTGTGAATGAATGCATAAAATGATCACCTAGTCAATCAATCATTCAGTGTAGGAATGAAAATAGAAGGCAGAGGATCAAGTTGTCTGTGTGTACACAAGGGTCAGAGTGAAAGCTGATTGTAACACTGGGGTGTCTTCAAATGTTGCATCTCATCAGGCAAATGTTAACAGTTGATAACATAGTGGAATAGGGTGGAAACAGCTTCAATGTAGAAGTCAAAAGAGTGAGGTCCAAGCCCTTGATTTGACATTTTTAAATTTTGAGACGTGCCTTCATTTCTCCGACCCTCAGGTTCTACATCTATTATGTCTATGCTTTATAAGCAACTGCACAGCCATATAAAACAGGAGTGGTTATCATAGTCTGTGTATATTTCTGATTTCAGCTGGTGTGTAGGTGCTGTGGCAGGGTTGGTGGCCCCATGGCATTTCTAAATTATCCACTATAAAAAGCAATTAGTGCAACTCACACAACAGTGGAATCATGGTTTAGTTGACAAGGAATTTGTAAATCATAGCCAGTATTGCTCAAACTTTGGACAGGTAACTCTCTAACTTGTCCACTAGAGACCCTGATGGAGAAATTGGGAGAAGGGTGGGAAGGGTCCATCTCTTGCTGTTGTCCCCAAGGGGGGCACTGAGGGCAGAAAAACCCAGAAACAAATGATATAGTTGAAGGCCACAAGGGCTTGGAGAATACACACAGGTGGTTAAGGACACAGTCTAGACTAGAACTCAGCTCCCTGAAGTTCAATGCTCTTTTCATATCTCCACCTTGTCAAATTAATTATGTCAATCAAGATCTTAGAAAGAATAACTTATGTAAGATCCAAGCTAAGAAGTCTTCTCACGATTCTGTGGCTACATCTAATAGTCAGGGACAGATGACCTTGTAGAACATGAGGGCAAAGCGGGAATCGGAGCTGCAGGAGTGAGGTGTCCTCCTGGATCTGGGTGTTTGGAAAGGAGGAGAACCCTTCATGAAGAATGGGGGTGGAGCTGGGTCATTGGTGGCAGAGAAGAGCAGGGCCAATTATAATGTGCCTGGATCCAGACACATTCAACCAAAGAATAAAGGAAGAGAAGAAAAAGCAGAAGGTAAGGAACACCTCATGGAGAAGGTTCTAGAAGAAGTGCTAGTGAACCAACTCATCAGAAAGTGCTTTGTGCCAGGCAGTTTCAGGAAAACAAGGCAGGCCTGAGCTCCTGGTACCCTCAGGAGATGAGAGAGAACAGGCAGAAAGGACTGTGCTTTGTGAGATACTGCAGACAATTACAAGCTCCTCCTCCCAGCATTTTTCATAGCATCCCCTCCCCTTCCCCCAACACACTCACACTTACACCCTCTGGCCCATTCTGGGCTGGGCTTTGCTTCTTTTCTGCAGCAGAGTTTGACACCAGTGCAGCGCCACTGAATTGAAGACATTTATTAAAACAACAGCTTCCTTAATATGTAATTCTTAGTTTATGGCCTTCAGTCCCATATCTCAAAATCATCCAGCTTTTTCCAAAAGCAGTATAAAGAGTCAGCTGTTTGGGAAGTCAATATAATTTTTATGAAGGAAAGCTCAACTGAATTATTTTTTTGGTTTTCTATCTTCATAGAGGTAGCCCTCAGCAGTTGGGTCTAATCTATCCTCCATAAAAAAGGTACCAATAAATCAATCAACCACAACAAAAAAGGCCACTTCCACTTTTTCCTGGAAATTCTAATGCAAACAGAATTGAAACCAAGTTGGCTAAATAATTCATACTCTGCAGTGATCACTCAGGTAGTTCAGTTAGGGTTCACAGTCACAGGTATCTTGGACAATCTCATATCTGTAATATCCACACATAAACATCTAAGGCAGACATCAGAGTCTCTTTATCAAGATTGAAATCCATGTGTCTCCTGAGCTCTAATACATTTCACCATCCACATTGTTTCATTGAGCCCTCTACTACAAATGGTTTTAGGCTCTGATGCAAGACAGGAATTTGAAGCATGCATTGGAGTATTTAATGGTGTTAATTTCTGGTGCACACAAACATCAACTTCACTCAACAATCCAATAATCTTGCAAAATAAAGAAAATATGCCAGAGAATGAAATGCAGCATGGAATTTTTCAGGATTGCAAGCAAAGCAATTCCACAGTCCTGCGGATGCCAGGGTAATAAAATAAATGGCGATTTACAGATCCTTAAAGATGTTACAATCAATAAAGAAAATAAAAGGAAGAATACAAGGTGCTTTCAGTTCTAAGAATTGTTCTAACTTTTACATTCAAACATGTTTATTTGGCTAATTAAAGCCCTCAGATGCGGTCCCAAGTTAATTTAAAATGAACATCTGATTGTAACAAATGAAATATATAGTCTGTGGTGTCTTTTTTTGTTGTTGTTGTTTTGGTTTGTTTTTTGTTTCAACCAGTGGGCACAGATTTAAACAATTCCTACCTGGAAATATGGATGGTCTCTTCTTTGGGCGCCTCAGGTGAATGGGATCCAAGTTCTTAATGTTCCTTTGAAGTCTTCCTCTAATGTCATTTCCTATGAGCAGTTCAGGTGGCAGGCTGCTCCGTCTCGATGATTTATAATCATTTTGAGATGAATTTAGTTTGTTCTTCGTTCTGTAATATAAATTGCTGTCATCAACTGCCATTGTAGGAGAGACATTAGAGACTCTGAACTAAAATCCAAAAAGCCAAACCAAGTGGCAGCCACTGACACAGCTGCCGCCGCCCCAGACTCGGATGTTCTCATGCTTTGCCCTGCACTTGTTTGGGAAGCCTAGCAAGTTGATAGGCGTGGACTTGAACAGGTGTAGAATTACCGAGTGGCCCCTCCTTTCCACAGTTAATAGCACAGGGGAGGAGAGATCAAAAAAAAAATCATTAGGTGCAGAACACTGGGGAATTTGAACAGATGTGACTCAGGGCCCGTGCTCTGGTGTGTGGTAATAAAAGTGGTATCATGGTTGCCGCATGAAATTTCTGCTTTACTGGTGCAATGCCATAAAGCAAACACAACTCACTATTTAAGAGTGAAAGCCTATGCATGTTGCAAGTTTAATTTTTCTGATTAGTTCCCAAAGTCTTAGAGATTTTAAACAGTTTGGGGGAAGCATTTTCACATTCCCTCATACCTTCATGTTTCCAACTACATACACACACAGAACAAACATTTTTCTTGATTCAATTTCTTATTTGGCTGGCCGCCAACTGGAAGTTAGCTGGAAGAGGGAGATGAGAGATGCTGGATGACCAGAAAGGAACCGGTTGTGGGCGTGTGTCAGGCAGCACTGCCGGGAACCCACTGCTGTGCCTGACCCACCCCTTCCATCCTGTGCCCCACCTGGCAGATGGCTTCTCCAGAAGTTCCCACTATCTGGCCAGAAAGTCAGAGGTCTAGCAAACAAGCATTAGCCATAGGAATAACCTCCACTCACAAATAAAAAGTAAATGTTTTAATCCTTGTGAGGATTCCGCCTCACTTTCTACTAAAGTGGCCAATGGGTTTGTTGGTATGAGAAACACCAGCATTTCCTCACTAAAGATTCCTGTTTGATTTGTCACATATTTTCTTTCTTTCTCTTCCTGATTTTGCTTTTTGTATCCTTTGTTCCCTTCCCCCTTGCTCTATTTATGTGGAAATGTCCTGCACTCTTTTCTTTGTGCAGAAATCATAACTCTGTAATTTGCCCTCCTAACCATGCCCCTGGGGTATATTTATCAGAATTATTCAATCAATCAATTTCTGTCTCTGTCTCTGTCTCTGTCTCTGTCTCTGTCTCTCTCTCTCTCTCTCTCACACACACACACACACACACACACACACACCCCTCTTGTGTTCTGTCTGGTTGCAGTGTAAGTCAGAAGATAAAGAAGACGAGATCTGCCTTTTCTCTTCCCAGTGCCTGGGACCAGTAGATACTTAACATTGTAAGGGATTTAGGGGTCATTTCAGAAATCACTGTTTACTTTGTTTTCCTAGATGACAAGGGGATTTTAAATTTAGGAGGTGAGTCTCTTTACAAGTCCAGGACACACTTCCACACTAATAGGAGTTTTATTCTTTATTTTCCTTATTCTCTTTCAGCAGCAGGTCTCCAAACTACAAGAGATTCTTGTACATTCTTGAAGATTTTTTAACAGGTATTTCCAGATTAGAGTTGCTATTATAATCCAGCAATTGTAACTACAATTATAATCCAGCAATCATATTTATATATTAGATTATTGAGTTATTTCTAACTCAATAATAGGGGATTCTGAGAATCCCCTATTTCCCTCCCAGGACATAGAACTAATTTGTCAAGTCGATATGTACCATGAACTTCAAAACAATGAGTGACTTGTATAAACCATTTTTAAAAAGCCCACGAGACTGTTTGAATCTCACTTACCTTAATGAAAATACACTTTTTTCCCCTAGTAAAAAAAATTAAAAGTAAAGCAGTTTTAAAAATTTGAGATAATGATTTAATAGGAAGAAAAAAATACAATTCCATGAGCAAAACCTCAAGAACAGTGTTTAATTTTCAAAAACATAGCAAGATAGTGTCCTAGGACACAAAAGATTGGATGCTAACAGGGAGAATTTGGCAATTGGCAAAGCAGAAGCCCCAGCCATTTAGTGACTTCTCCAATTCACAATATTACCAAAGGGCTAAATAAGAGTATATATGAGATGAAACAGAATCTCCTGGGAAAGGTGTTACTATCACTTATCACACATAGTGTACACCAAGTATGTCTGCACAGTGTGCACATATAATTTTGCCTTTGTCTTTAAGAGACTGTCTTACTTACTGCATACTTAAAACTGGCTAGGTTCTGTGCTAAGCCTTTGGCATGCATTATCTCATTGATTCCTCCTAATCATTCTGTGTTACAGATCAACACACTGAGTCAAAGATCTAGAAATTGGGGGAGAAAAGATGTGAACATAGGTTTTATCTGACTGCACAGCTCATGTTCAAGACCATGGTTTAAACTGTACCACCATACTGCATTGTTAAACTTGTATGACATCTAAAGGGGATCGATCAAAAGTCTTTATTTTCCTAAAACAATTCTTGGTTTTAAGCAGATTCTGCCTGTACCAACTATATGATTGAGGAGTGAGCTGGATCACTTAACTAGGCCTGCCCTGTGTAACTGAGCTGTCAGGAGGTCTTTGAGGTCCACGGAATGAAAATGAGAAAAAGCAAGAGAATTAGTTTTTTGCCAGAGTGTATCAGAAAGTAATTTGCTTTAATAATAAAGTATTCATGTTGAGGCTTTTTCATACTAAAATGTATTTTAGATAAAAGTATTATATTTTCCTGAGATTTAAATTATAATTAGATAAAATACCCTCTACAATAATTTGGAGGTACCTTAACACCCCTGATCCTCTAAAATGACCTAAGAGAGCACTAGAGGGCTTCCTGATAGGCCCCAGTTGAATTCATCTCCTATCCAACTCATTTCCCCCATATGGAACGGAAACAGGTAGGAATATAGCTCATTTAATATATTTCCTTAACAGAGAAAAGTGAGAACAACTTGAATTTGCTATTTTTAAAATTTCAGAGAAATATAAATAATTTTTATTGTTTCAAAAGTGGTATTAAATCTGTGAACATGAAAAAAGTAACCTAAATCATTCTTTCAAAGTATTGAAATTGGCTGCAACAAGAACAAGAATCAACCACAGAAAATTTACCTTGGTTTGGTCTAAATGAGAATATTCATAGGTTATAATGTTAAATCCACCCCTCCCTCTTTATAGTACCAGCCAAAAGAAGAATTTCATTTTTTTTCCCAAACAGTCAAAAGAATGATGGTATTGGGTTCTGAGGTAAGAGGAATATCAAAATTTATAGCATAATTAAATAATGTTAAATAGATAATTGGACATTTTCTACTTTAATAACCATTATGTTTTAAAGGTATCCATTCTCACATAACTCCAACATATTAATATCTTTTGAATTGTTCTAATTTCTTATCTTTCAAAAAGTTGTATATTTCATATTAAATGATGTCACCATCCCATGAACATTTTATTCTTCTTAGTAGTAAGACATTATAATCTTTCTCTTAGGATGTTCAAATAGTCCATAGAAAGACATTTCCTCACCTTATAGCCAGGATTTTCTTGTGAATTTTGGTAGGATTTATTTATTTTTTAAATATTTATTTATTTTTCTGAGACAGAGTCTCACTCTGTTGTCCTGGCTAGAATGCAGTGGCATCATCACAGTTCACTGCAACCTCACTGCAACACTGCAACCTCAAAAGGATTGCACAAGCAATCCTTTTGCCTCAGTCTCCCAGTTAGCTGGGACTATAGGCATGTGGCACCACACTCAGCTAAGTTTTCTATTTTTTGTGGAGTCGAGGTCTCGCTCTTGCTCATGCTGGTTTTGAGCTCCTGACCTCAAGTGATCCTCCTGCCTTGGCCTCCCAGAGTGCTAGGATTACAGGCATGAGCCACCACCCCCAGCCCAAATTTTGGCAGCTTTTATTAATAAATACCATTCCCAAATTATTTTGCTTTTGTGAGACAGCTGCAATTATATTGAGAATGACAGAACTTTACAACTGTAACTGTCTTTCTCATTATTATCTTCCTAGAGATGATCCACCAAGAAGGCTTTAGGCCTGTTAGGATTCACCAAAGTAGCTTCTGAATGTCAATCTGGCACAGCTGTATGCATATCCTGCCAATATTTATTATTTTTGGACTCTTTATTCAGTTTTCAACTGAGATGAACTATTATGCAGTGGGTTTGCCACTAGGAGAGAATAATAGTATAAAATGTCAGAATGATAGATATCACCAAGTCCAGCAGCTTGATGGTATCTCCCTCCAAAATGTCACCAGCCCCCTCTTGTTGCCAACATATCTTTGGTTGGTGTGGGTAACAATGCCTGCAGTGTCACCTATGGTGTGATTATGGCTGAGGAAATATTTTCTCAGTTCCTAAAAATACAATGAAGATGTTCAGTACTTATCTAATTGACTCCCAACAGCAATTAACACTAATGACCAGTCCTTCTTTCCCTCTAAAAATTCTCTAATCCCTTGGCTTCCATGACACCATTATCTCTCATTTTTCTTCCTACATCTCAGGTCCTTTCTGCTCAGATTCTGCAGGGGCTCCTTAAAAGTCTGTTTTCCTCCCCTTCCTCTCTTTAGTAGGCCCATTTATTGAACACCTACTAAGTGTCTGGCACCATGCTAAGTCCAAGATCTCTACTCCTGAGGATCTCTTCATCTGGAAAGAGAGCAGACCAATAATAAACAAGTTATTGCAATACACAGTGACCACTCTGTGAAGAGGTGACACACAACAAAATACTTAGTCAATTCTTGCTGATAGAGAAGGGGATGGAAAGGGATGGTTTCTCAGAGGAGAAGTAGTGATTTCACAAGGTTGATGAGGGGATCCTGTACAAAGGCACTAAGGTGTGACTTAGCATTGAATGTACACAGAATGGCAAGTATAGCAATCGCACACTTACAACAGGCAGGGCTTTGTGTTATGCAGAAGTACAGACATTGGAAAAACAAGATGGGGCAATCTGAGAGAATTGGGGGCTGAAGGAAAAAACAATGTGGTGTTATTATATATTTTTTT